GAGAGAGATACGATAGCCTGAAGAGAAGACCGGGAACAATCCCAAGACAAAGAAATGATAAGTGTTTCAGGTGATGCATATGTGAGTTAATTTGATTGATTTGATCATTACATATTGCATGTATTTATCAAACTGCCATATATACCCCATAAATATGTACAATTATTATGTGTCAATAAAATGCAATGCACATTTCAAAATTGCATTAGAGTTTAAATGTTCTCACAGGAAATAGAACGATACTTTGGCCCTTTCCCAACGTAGGTGAGGGAAGGAGCGATATGTTAACAAGCTTGATTTAATTTTTCCACAATCTATACATATGTAAATATTAATAATATGTTAAGATTTTGAAGAAAATTAAAAAATTATCACTAATATTCATTGGTTATTACTAATGACAGTCCATTTTTTTTTTTTTTTTTTTTGAGACAGAGTCTCGCTTTCTTGCCTAGGCTAGAATGAGTGCCGTGGTGTCAGCCTAGCTCACAGCAACCTGAAACTCCTGGGCTCAAGCGATCCTCCTGCCTCAGCCTCCCGAGTAGCTGGGACTACAGCACGAACCACCATGCCGCTGATTTTTATATTATATTATTAGTTGGCCATTAATTTCTTTCTATTTTATGGTAGAGACGGGTCTCGCTCAGGCTGGTTTCGAACTCCTGACCTTGAGCAATCCGCCCGCCTCGGCCTCCCAGAGTGCTAGGATTACAGGCGTGAGCCACCGCGCCCGGCCTATGACAGTCCATTTTTTCAACGTCATGGAAATATTATGCAAAAGCTTTGCTGAAACTAGATTAAATCTTTGATTTCGTATTAGTTAACCGACTCTTAGCACATTCTTTACTTGTCAGAAAATTGCTGTTTGGCACAAGGGGACCCCAACTGGTTAAAACTTGCAGATCCATATAACCTGACCACTTCAAACACCTCAGATGTATGACAGATCATTCAGTAGACCAGGAAAACCAAGGTCATTTCCAAAGCAGGCGTGTTTAAGGAATTAATTTCGTCTCTATTGAGTTTCTTTGGGAAATCTAATCAACAGGGATTACCTAAAATGGATTATATGGCCTTAAACCAATCCCTGTGGGCGGAGCTAACAGAAGGGAGGTGTGGAGCCCTTGGGTCCCTATAAATAGAGACGGCTCATCTCCAGGCCACTCTGAGAGCAGACCCGGACGCAGGAGGCAGAGGCTGGAAGACAGGGCGGAGGTGAGTTCTGGTGGGCTTGTCTATGGGCACGTGTCTGCGGCGAGTAGGGCCCGGGAGGTGGAGGGCGGCTCCAGGCAGACTTGGGTGCACACTCCCCACGCATGAGCTCTGAGCTCCCGTGAAAGCAAAGCAGCTCTTCGTACCTCATCATCAGCTCGACTTGAGTCATCATGTAGCCCTTCTGTAGGACGGGAATGATGTCAACCTACTGATGGGGCATATTTCAGTTTGTTTTCCTATTTATTTGGTTTTGTTTGTTTTCTTGGAGATGGGATCTCACTCGGTCACCCAGACAGTAGTGCTGGGTGCGATCAAGGGTTTTATGTTTTATAGAGGGTGTCTTCGGCTGGGGCTGGGTGCAGGGACTCACGCCTGTGATCCCAGCACTTTGGGAAGCCGAGGCTGGAGGATCACTAGAGCCCAGCAGCTCCAGACAGCCTGCACAGCATGGCGAGACCCTGTCTCCACATAAGAAACCAAACAAAACCAAAGGAGCCACCGTGGCGGCATGCGCCTGTAGTCCAACTACTCCTGATGCTCAGGCAGAAGGAAGGCTTGAGCCCAAGAAAAGTCTGAGGTTGCTGTGAGCTATGATGATGCCCCTGCACTCCAGCTTGGGTGGCAGAGTAAGATTCTGTTTCAAAAGCAGAAAAAAAGTGGGAGGACGAGTCTCACTGTGCTTCCCAGGCTAGCCTCAAAGCCTGGCCCGCAGTCGGGTCCTGCAGTGTTTGAACAGCCCTGGCGCCGGCTCCCGGCAGCCCTCTGCGAGAGCACTTTGACTGCCCAGACTCTCAGGCAGACTGTCCGCTCTCGTACCCCCCTGCTTTTAAAATAGAAATTAATACTTATAACATTGAAAACGAAAGATTCTATATGTTCATAACCTACAGCAGGATTTTGGAAGTATATATATGTTGTGGAATGGCTAATGAGCTAATTAGCATATGCACTTCCTCTCATACTTAGCTCTCTTTGTCCTCAGAACACTTAAAATCTATTTTCTTAGCAATGTCCAAGGATAGATTACATTGTTATTAACCATGTGGCACAGTCCATCTCTTGAATGTCTTTCTTCTGTCTAACTGAAAGTTTGTATCCTTGAGCCACCTCTGCCCACTGCACCCCCAGCCCTGGACGCCCACTCTGCTCTCTGCTTCTAGGAGTCCCGGTGTGGCAGGTTGCACACACTGATTCACTTCCTTTGGATAGATACCCAGAAGAGGGGTTGCTGGGTCATACGGTAGCTCTATTTTCAGTTTATCGAGGAACTTCCAGTCTGCTTTCCGTGGCGGCTCTACCAACTCCACGCGCACCACTGTGCGAGGCTTCTGCGCATCCTCACCAGCACCTGTTACCGCCTGTCCTTCTGAGAGTGGCCGTTCCACAGGAGTCAGGTGATGTTTTGGGGTTTGACTTCAATTTCCCTGATGACTGGTGGCCTTGAGCATCTTTTCATGTACCTGTTGGCCATTCATATGTTTTCTCTGAGAAACATTCCTGCCTTGGCTCATTGATTATTCAGGTTACGTGTTTTCTTGTGTTGGGGCAGTCTGAGTTCCTTACACACTGCGAGAGTAAGCCCCTATCTCATGTGCGGTCCGCAGACATTTCCTCCCACGCTGGCCGGCTCCTCACTGCCGATCCCCTGCGTGGCTGACTCTGCTTCGGCCGGTACTCCTCGCCTTCCAGGAGGCTGGGGGCTCCGAGTCCAGGCTTCCCGGGCACTTTCCCGAGACCCCGGCCAGCTGTCTCCTCTGCAGCCCTCCAGGATGGTCCCTGCCCTGTGGCCGGGAAGGCGGCTGCACTCACAGCCGGGCTCTGGCAGTCTAGTGGTGTCGGGGAGGACCTCTCCCTGTTGAAGGTGGTTTAGGACCTCCAAAAACATTCCTGAATTCCCACTTCCTAAAAGGTTAAAAGACCACTGGGCTTTAAATCTGTTTTCTGTAATGAGATTAAATAGGCACACACACACACACACACACACACACTGTGATTTAGAATACTGTTCTGACGAGTCTTATGACAAAATCAGAGTCAATGTATACAATATTGCTACCATTTCCTGATGTTTCCGGTTGGAGCTCAGGGTCTGTGCCTCTGGTTCCTTGAGTTTCGTCCTGTGCAGACACAAGCGGCAGTTCTCACTCATTGTGAGTAGCATCTCCCCCAGGATCCTCTGTTAATGTTTTCAGTCATATATACATGTTAAAAATGAAGTGCTCATCACAGGGGA